CTCAAACACTGAAACTGGAAAACCGAGAAAATTCATTATTAACCAATTTACTGTTCTTCCTTTCATGTCTCTTAAATCCTTTCCAATCCAACCTAATCTCCAGTCAAGAATTAACATTTTTCCTCCTCAATAATTACACTTAATCCCTAAGCCAATGAATAGTATTCTTCCTTTCTTTCACCTAACCTAATTTACACAAACTCTAAAACGTAAAAAAACCCAGAAAATTCATCATTCATCAATTTACTATGTTTGCCTTCATTTCTCTTCATCCTTTCGTTTCTTCTTCGAGTCATGCAATTCCTGAATAAAAAAAGATCACCAAAAAGTTAGCGATGGATGGTGTAATTTCCTGTTGTAAAGGACGTGGCCAATTCATCAAAGAGGACAAGAGGAGCATTAAACAGGACCAGACAGTAATCGTGTTAACGTGGACTCGCGCGCGCCGTCACTACATAACATGTCGACTGCGTTTTCGCCGATTCGAGCATTAGGCACTGGTCGAATTACCCACCGCTAAATCGACCCTCTTCTCTCTCCTTCTCTCTCGCCCGTCTCATTGTGTATTTGGCCGCGCCGTTAACGAGAAATTAGCGTGCACGGCAGGCGCGTCTAAAGTAGGGACGAGTTAAAGCGATTAGCATAAATCGATGCTATGTCCGGAACCTTCAACGGTGGCCGCGTTCGCCACGCACAATGGCCTATAGTGTCTCGAGAATTACCTTCGACTTCACTATCTTCAGACGTGATTCGACGGATTTGAGTTTGATGTTCACCAGAATGCTGGAGTGACGATTCAATGAGACGTATCGTGGAAAAATATTTGACCTCTTTCAGGAGAGAATTTTAAAGGGAAGGAATGTTTTCTGGGTTGCTTTGCACTTTTTACGTGACTTACGATTTCTTTTGGTAGAATTGTTTGCAGAAGCTTACGGTTTTCGTCTGTATCGAGATTCTTATCTGCAAGAATCGAGATCGTTCGATTGATCAAGCTTTAATTGAGAATTAATTAAGAATTTTTATTTACATGCTGCGCCCTGCACTTCCGAACATTTCAACAATAACTCAGAATAAATCCCATGAATTATCCATTTCCATTTACAACAGATCTAAGAGGGAATATCCAAAAGTGAGATAATTACTGATTCTGATAAAACTTCAGTACATAGTAGCTCTGAAAATATACTCAACGTGCATTTTTTATATCAGCAATCGTCCACAGTGAAGGGGTAGAAATCGCCGTCAAAGCTGGGGGTAGTAAATTAGGTGCAGATATGAATTCTTTCCGACTGGATTCACGCAATCGATTCAAAGACCACCGAGTTTCTTTCGCGATGGTATTCGCAAGCTGCCAGAGTGATTACAAAAAGTCATCAACAATAATGGAAATTTTTAAATAAAAACGTTGATTGTGCCCAAAATTCAGAAAGAATTCTACACCCAGTACTTAACCCTTTGAACTTCAAATTTTTTTTCAAATTTTCTTTTCAATAACTCCCTGTTGTTTTAAGAATTTTATCTGAAATGCACTTCAAAAGACATTTCGCTGATAGGAACTAATTTAAACAATTTTTTTTACTAATTACATTGAAAATAGCATTAATGGTAACTACCGGCCAAAAGTTTGGAATCACCTCCCACTTTGCATCAATATTAAATCTGCTGCTAATTTTTCATAGATTTGAAGAGTGGCGACCGCCACGGGGGGGCCACGCATTTAGGCCTGGCGACTCTCTTGGCCCTCGAGGCGAAGAATCGAGAGATGTTTTTCCAAACATCTCCGAGTTTCTTCGTCCTCGAGGACAAGAGTACTGCCTCGGCAACGTAGTCCCGCGCGTCCACTTCCTGGGACTTTCCCAGGGAAAAGGGGCTACTTAAGGGAGCCCCGAAAAAGGCACGAGGCCTTCTGTCGTAGAGCTTCTCTGCACGCGCATCACATAGTACATTTGAAATTAGTTCAAGCATTACGTTTAAATAAATATATTTTCGTTACCCACTTGGCGAGTAATCATTTGCACCACGTCACTTCCAAAGAAGTTTATCTCAATTCTACATTTATCAATTTATCTCGTATCAACTGATTGGAACGATAAAAAATTCTCAAAGTCGCTGACTTTTTTCTGGAAATTTTTGTGTAAATTGCAATGCTCGGTGATTCCAAACTTTTGACCGGTAGTGTATGTGCAGTGAAATTTCCTTAATGCTCGGCCTACCTTGGGAAATGAAAAATTAGGCTGTCGTTAGGTGTAACGTTTATTACGGTCGAGGAGAGAGAGATCTCGATGATCTAATTTAGAATTTAATCAGATATGATCTAAGTGTTGTAATGAAGGGGATTATGCTTCCACTTTCTATGCGGATGGTGGGCTTTGCTCTTTTTCTACTTTCAGTAATACCGCGATTAGATATAGTAAGATTGGAGAATTGTAAAGTTAGGAAAAGTTCACTCGACGATAAAAAGTAAAAAGTGAGAATGGAATCGAATTTAGAGATTTTACTCGAGAGAATTATACTTCCTCCTATTCTCTATATACCTGGTGAGCTCTATTTCACTTTTCAATTTAAATTTAAATTTTATTCAAGAGAATCGTATCTCCTGTTCTCTATACACCTGGTGAGCTTCATTTCTTTTTTTTTTAATTAATATTGTAGTTTCTATAAAAAACAATTTCACGAAGCAGGGAAATTAAAAGGAAGAAAGTTCATTCGACGATAAAAAAAATGGAAGAACGTAATCCAAAACCCCAAGATCAGCGATAAACTCTACATCCCCTTTCGAACTTCTCAAAACAACATGCCGAAACTATTCGAAACCGTCCATAAACCAACTTTCCCCCAAACGGTCTTCCATCCAGCAACTTAATATGGCGCACGTGCACCTTTTCCCTTCGCCAAAAACGCAAGATGTGGCCTGTATAACTAATTTACGACATACGGAGACTCTTTTTAAGAAGTTCCACGACTCGTGAACGGCGTAATTAGGTGTCGAAGTTTTAATGGTGCGTTAAGGTTCCTCTCGGACACGAGCCTCCGCCGTCCTGGCCAGAAAAGATTAATGGATCGAAGGATTTTAGGGTGGCGGGGGCAAGATTAAGCGATGGAAATTAACTCGGATATTAAAGTAGGGAAAAGTGCGATTTCATTATTAGTCAGGCGAGTAGCTTGGCGTAAACCAGAGAAGGAGATTTCGTCGAACCTTCGACTCAGCTGGCCGGTAATTAAAGCTGCTTTCTATCGAGAACGTTCGCCAATGATTAAACCGTTTCTCCAGACTTTTGTCAGGAATTTTATGCACCGACGATCGATTCTATTCGAAGTTACAGTCGAAGTTTACGAAGAGAATTATTCTACGTGCCATTTTTTGGGCAACTAGGTTGAAGAACCAGTGATTTTTCAAATAATTCAAAGGATACGAGCTTGAGAATCTTGTTCAAGGAACTGTCAGAAGAAATTTAGTGAATGTTGTTAGCTAAGTATTGTGATTTTTTCGCTGAAAATATTGAAAATTGTACAAGATATTAAATTTTAATGGTTAAGTTTGCCAACGTTCTCAGGTGAATGGATATTAAATATACAGGATGCTTAAAAAAATATGTGAAGTCCTATATGGAGAATTTTTAGCACCTAACAAGAATTCCACTGTTCGTTCAAAATAAGAATAACCTCGTTTGGCGCATGGAACGTGCCTAAGGAAGGGCTGGAACGTCCAAACCCCCACTTAACCGCCTGCGTTTTTCTCTGTCTTACCCTCTGCTACGCTCTCTGTCTATGCGCAGAACGGACGAAAATCGGCCCGAGAACGAGGTTACTCTTACTTTGAACGATGTATAAAACGCCCAAATCCCCACTTAATCGCCTACGTTTTTCTCCGTCTTACCCTCTGCTACGCTCTCTGTCTATGCGCAGAACGGACGAAAATCGGCCCGAGAACGAGGTTACTCTTACTTTGAACGATGTATAAAACGCCCAAATCCCCACTTAATCGCCTACGTTTTTCTCCGTCTTACCCTCTGCTACGCTCTCTGTCTATGCGCAGAACGGACGAAAATCGGCCCGAGAACGAGGTTACTCTTACTTTGAACGATGTATAAAACGCCCAAATCCCCACTTAATCGCCTACGTTTTTCTCCGTCTTACCCTCTGCTACGCTCTCTGTCTATGCGCAGAACGGACGAAAATCGGCCCGAGAACGAGGTTACTCTTACTTTGAACGATGTATAAAACGCCCAAATCCCCACTTAATCGCCTACGTTTTTCTCCGTCTTACCCTCTGCTACGCTCTCTGTCTATGCGCAGAACGGACGAAAATCGGCCCGAGAACGAGGTTACTCTTACTTTGAACGATGTATAAAACGCCCAAATCCCCACTTAATCGCCTACGTTTTTCTCCGTCTTACCCTCTGCTACGCTCTCTGTCTATGCGCAGAACGGACGAAAATCGGCCCGAGAACGAGGTTACTCTTACTTTGAACGATGTATAAAACGCCCAAATCCCCACTTAATCGCCTACGTTTTTCTCCGTCTTACCCTCTGCTACGCTCTCTGTCTATGCGCAGAACGGACGAAAATCGGCCCGAGAACGAGGTTACTCTTACTTTGAACGATGTATAAAACGCCCAAATCCCCACTTAATCGCCTACGTTTTTCTCCGTCTTACCCTCTGCTACGCTCTCTGTCTATGCGCAGAACGGACGAAAATCGGCCCGAGAACGAGGTTACTCTTACTTTGAACGATGTATAAAACGCCCAAATCCCCACTTAATCGCCTACGTTTTTCTCCGTCTTACCCTCTGCTACGCTCTCTGTCTATGCGCAGAACGGACGAAAATCGGCCCGAGAACGAGGTTACTCTTACTTTGAACGATGTATAAAACGCCCAAATCCCCACTTAATCGCCTACGTTTTTCTCCGTCTTACCCTCTGCTACGCTCTCTGTCTATGCGCAGAACGGACGAAAATCGGCCCGAGAACGAGGTTACTCTTACTTTGAACGATGTATAAAACGCCCAAATCCCCACTTAATCGCCTACGTTTTTCTCCGTCTTACCCTCTGCTACGCTCTCTGTCTATGCGCAGAACGGACGAAAATCGGCCCGAGAACGAGGTTACTCTTACTT